AAAAAAAAAAAAAAAAAAAGAAAACCACGAAACCAAATGCCGGCACAGGGGCAGAAGATGGAACAGCAGGGCTGCGCGTCATGTCCTCACCTCTGAAGCGCTGCTGGATCGCCTCCTCGGCGGCATCCCCGCGGTAGCGCTTCACTTTGTCCTGCACCACGGCGCCGAACGACTCGCGGGTGATGCGCCGGGAGGCCATTTTTACACCCTGCGGCCGGGGCGGAGCGGGGGCCCCTCCGCCGCTCCCTCCCTCCCTCCGGGGCACCCCCCTCCCTCCCTCCCTCCCCGCCCGCCGGCCCCTCTCCCCTCCCGCGGGCGCCGCTCGGGGTGTGCGCCCCGGCCGCGGGAGGAGGAGCCGCCCGCGGGGGAGCAGCGGCGGGGAGCGCGGAGCCGCAGCCCCCGGGCCCGGCCCAGCCCTGCCCGCCCTCAGCGAGGCGGCCCCGCCCGCCTCACACCGAGGGGAGGGGGGGGGGCGGCGCCCCCGCACGGGGGGGGGGGGGCGCTCCCTTTCCCCCCCCCCCCCCCAGGACCGAGTTAATTCTACGGGGGAAAAAAAGGTAAAAAAATGAAATAAAAAAAAAAAACCACGCCAAAAAACAGCTGTTTAATAAGGACAGAGGTGGCCGATGCGCCCGCGCGCGCGGGGTTTTACAGAGTTATGGTATCGTCTAATTCTACGGTGCAATCTGTGGTATAGTGTACAGAATGTTATAGTTAACAATAATAATAATAATATAGATAATCTATAATAAGATTATAGATAATACTATAATATAGTATTACCTAATTCTTATGGTATCATCGATATTCATGGCTGGGGCTTCGCGAACGAAGATTTGGGGATCACCGATACTGTGCTATAGATATAGAATATCATTGATAATATTTTATTATAGATAATTTTTTATTATAGATAATAGAATATTACAGGTAATATAATAATTGCATAGATAATGTAGATAATCTGCATGAGTATAAATAATACTATAATGTATTATCTAATTCTTGTAGCATCATCAATGCTATAGTACAGATATATAATATTATACATAATATAATAATAATGATAATAATAGGTAATCTATAATAAGATTATTGGTAATGCTATAGCATAGTATTATCTAATTCTTATAGCATCATCTATACTACGTTATGGATATATAACATTATAGATAATATTATAGATAATAAAATGATAAGCCTGACCTCGCCCCCTCCCTCCTCTGGCCACGCCCCCTCCGCACACTGGCCACGCCCCCCCGCCGCGCCTGCGCCGTGCGGAGCCGCCTCCTCCCCTGCAGGCGGGCGGTGCCGGCGCAGCGCTGCGGGCGCGGGGCGGTATTAACGGTGCGGGCGCGGTGCCGGTAAGCGGAAGAGGGCGCGGGGTGGGGGAGCGGCCCCGTGGCCTCCCGTTGTAACGGCGCGGGGCCGGCGCGCTCGCTGCCCTGCGGGTGCGCCCCGGCACGCGTGGGAGTGGCGGGGCGCGGGGGCGCGCTGCGCATGCGCGCTGCGCCACCCCGCGCTCTTTTTCGCTCGCGTCGGCGCGAGTTTTGGTCCGGGCGCATGCGCAGAGGAGGGGCGGGGGGCCTGTACGGCGGCCGAGCGGGGCCGTCCCGCCCTCGCCTTTTGTCCGGCGGGAGCTGAGGTGGGTCGTGAGGGGAACCGGGGCTTGGGGTGCGCCCCGGGGCTGCCACAGCGTCAATCCCCGCTCTCCCGGCCCTCCCCGCCGCTGGAAGTGGCGGGGCCTTCTGAAGGGGTGCGGGACGGGGCTCGGGGCCGTGTGTGACCGGGCACGGTGCCCTCCGTGTCGCGGTGACACCGCAGCGCATCCCCAGCCCAGCCCTGCTGAAACGCCTCCTCGTTTCTCTTCATCGCCGCGTTTTTCCCCATGGAATAAAAAACCCTTGGTGGTGTATCCGTGGTACATTCGGCGGTGCGTTTTCGGGGTCGAGTTCTGCTCTTTTGTTTCGAGGGGAAAAGCCGAGTCGTTTGCGTCGTTCCCGGGTCGGCATTTGGATGGTTTTGCTCCAAAACTAGTTGTGGGCTCTCTCCACCGCAGGCCACGGAGGGGGTTTATCCCGTTCCGGGGAAAAATGGGGTCCAAGCAGATCACCCAGGAGACGTTTGATGATGCGGTGCAGGAAAACATCACGGAGTTTGAGATGGACCCAGAGGAGGCTGTGAGAGAAGCTGTGCAGCAGTTCGAGTCCCAAGGTACCGCACGTTCGAGGTCTTACAGGCCGGGGTTTTACATCTCTGAAGGTGGCAGGGAACCTGCACTCAAAGGTGGATCTACCACTGCTGGAAAGGAGCCTTTGTGAAGTGAAACAGAGGCACTATTAATGCTGACCTGGTTTCATGCAGTAATTATGACTGGAAAACTGCTTGGAAGGGAAACTGGAGGGTGAAATTTCATCAATGAAATTAAACTCCCCCTCATCCTTTGTTCCAGGATGGATTTGACCATCATAGCCAGAATTTAACATTTCAGCATCTCTGTGCATTGATTTTTACAAGTTCATCTTTGTTCACTGTGATTAGCTTGGCAGATTATACCCATAACTGTGACTAATGCTGTTTATTTTGCTCTCATTAGCCTGCTACTAATATTAATCTGGGTTTTATTTCCCCTTTCAGGTGTGGACCTGAGCAATATTGTGAAAGCTGTACGACAACCTGCCTCTGAGAATGGGCAGAGGCAAAAGCATCAAATCCTGCTGGTAGGAGCACAAGTTGCTGTTTTCTCCTAAGAATGTCATAATATAAGTAACAGACCAGGAATTAATGGCATGTACCTTCTAGTTCTGCCCCTGTCCCATTTCTCTGGGAGCCCTTCAAGAAGTTAATCCATTTATTCTGCAAACTAGGAATATTGTAAAAATTCAAAGGGCTTCTTGCACTTTGCAGGGAAATATTTGTGTGAGTGAGGCTGTACCAGGTGGGGGTCGGGCTCTGCTCCCAGGGAACAAGGGGCAGGATGAGAGGAAAGAGCCTCGAGCTGTGCCCAGGGAGGGTCAGGCTGGACATCAGGAGGGATTTCTCCATGGAAAGGGTGCTCAGGAATTGACAGGGGCTGCCCAGGGAGGTTTGGATGTGGCACTCAGTGCTCTGGGCTGGGGGACAAGGTGGGGATGAGGCACAGGGGGGACTCGATGATTTTGGAGGTCTTTTCCAACCTCAGTGATTCTGGGATTCCAAGTACCAAATGCCACCATTTCCTACCTGGGGAGTGCAGAAACTGCCTTTCATAACCTAGAAGCAGATTCTTTCTGCTGTGGGCAGGTGAACTCAAACCACAGGAAAAAACTTCAGTTGAAAGAAACAAAAGCAACCTGGTTGGTAGGTGTGAGCTGGCTCTTCTGAGGGGAATGAAAGGGCTGAATACAGTCCCTCACCAGCAAGGGTATAAAAATACTCATAAATATAAAAATACTCATAAATATAAAAATACTCA